GAGACGGACTTCTGATGTGATTAGATATCATTATTTAATTATTAAATAATAAAGTGAAATAGTAATTATTTTGTTAATTATTAATCTGAATATATCCAAGTAAATAAATCTCCTTAGTAGTAATATTGATCAGTCATTGTTTATTTTGATGTTTTTTATACTACTTAAAATAGAATATTTTGAAAGCATTTTTTATCTTATTACACATTATCTATATAATAAATGCAAATGCCAGTGTGTCACTGTGTCATATTTTTTCAACTTTACTCCTTGAGGCCATAGCTCAACATATCATAGAATTTTGAAATCAGGCCAACTCCATGAGCAAATTAAAAACATTTTCTTTACTGCAATTGTTTTGTGTGATTTTTTTACATGATTTTTTTTGCACCAAATTTTTTGTATGATAATAATTTTTATAACTTGGAAATAAATTTGAGAATAATTGAAAAAATTATAATTGAAATTAATTGTGAAATCCAGTGAAAGTCACCCATGAAATAAAAATAATTGTTTGTACGGATAGTAAGGACCTACATACATCAAATGGTCTTTAAATTAAGTGATGATAGAAGAATTATCATTGAACTTTTAAAAGGTAAGCTTAAGTATGAATGCAATACTTAAATGCAGTGATTAATTTTAAATTCTTCTGTAGTTCATTGTTGCCTATCACATCTACTCCTGCCTACCTATTGTGATGAAGACCAAATCAAGATCCCTACACTGGAGCTATCTTAAATGCCGCCTGATAGGGCAGCTTTTAAGCTAGTATATAAATAAAGAATTAACAATTAACCTATTGTGATGAAGGCCAAATCAATTTATTATAAATGTAATTTTTAGTGAATACACATGTTTGAGTTGTTATTCCTGTTTTATTTTATTAAACTGTGAAGTTAATAAGAACCTGCTTATATTAAGAAGTTTTATTAAAGGAAAATAGTGCCTCTGACAAGACTTGAACCTTCATCCCTTTTTTACCTCAAGGAAACCACTTCTTAAGCCAGTGTGCTTCTACCAGTTTGTCCATGGTGTCAGACTGACATAACAAAACCACTGGGACTTCTACAAATTTATATCTGCTGGCTTCAGTTTTATACCTGAAACATAAACAATCATCATTTTTAAAGGGATTTTTTGTCCAACATTATCTTGTGCTGTTTGTAGTCTGTTATACACACAGATATATATGTGTCCAACAGTAAGTATACATACCAATGCTAAAAAAGCATTTATTTCACACCAAATATTTATTTTTCAACATAATCTCTTTCTTTGTTAGTGGTCAATGGCCAGTAAACTTAATTCAGTGGTTAAAATTCATCACACAAATTTAAAAATATCAGATCAGAATTTATCTAATTATTACATGTCAAGCTATGAATTTATTAATGCATCTTTGTATAGATATATACCTATGTATGTTTATCAATGAGCACATAACTGAATAAAGAAAAAATATTTATTTCATACAAAAATATTCATTTTTCAACATAATGCATTTCCATGTCAGTGCACTTAATCCTGTATTTCTGCGTTAATCCCATACATTGAAAAATATACAGTAAAAATTTCAGGTCCAAATTCAGTTGATAAATTTATGAAATGACATTAAATTGTAAGGTCATAGACAAAATTTTATTGTAAAAGAACAAAGCTTTAATGAATTTAAAGCAGATTTTAAAACTAGTTTTTTTCCCTGTTGGTTGGGTCAAGAATATGATGACTGCATCCTCATGCTGAAGAGTAAACTGCCACCAGAAAGAGGCCAACTGTTTGCTGAACTTATGTTTAATTATTGACTTACACAAACCAAATATATGTCTGCCATTTTGATTCTTATTCAAATTGCATATGTCTGCCATTTTGACTCATTCAAACCAAGCATATATCTACTTTTTAGACTCTTGTATAAACCAGAACTATATCCATCATTTTAAGTGTTTCAAACTGAATTTTTGACATTTGTGCTAACTGGACCTCTACCTATGTCTATGTTTTTGTCTCTCATGTAAACCTGCCCTCTGTCTGCCAGTTTGACTCTTATTCAAACCATACCTATATATCTGCCTTTTTGACTCTTATACAAACTGGACCTATTTTAACTTAATTGATATCTACCTTTTAGTGTCTTTTGCAAACCAGATCTGCTATTTTGACTCTCATATAAACCAAAAATATATCTGTCATTTTCACTCGTATTAAAACCAAACCTCTGCCTACCTTTTTGACTTTTGTTCAAACGGAACCTCTATCTTGCATTTTAATTTTTGTGAAAACAAGATCTATCTATCTATTTATTATCAAAATGACAGAATTTGACATTTAATAAGCAGGAAAAGTTTGATGCAATATTAATCAAATCAAAATAGATCAAAACTGGTTTTAGTGTTTACAAAATATTTTTTACCTATCAGTCATCATGTCCTGCTATAAATGATTGATAGCTGTCAAGAGAAGAATTGAACAGTTTTACTTTTTAAAAATCCTCTTTGCCAAAAAATATAGCACTCCAAGCAATATCAGTTGAAGAAAAATTGATGCTTTAATTATTAATTAACTTGATTTTAAAAATAATTATCTGCTTCTTGCTTAAAACACTGTGAAAGTACAGCTGTTTACCTGTTTGCTCAGGTTAGATATCATCTAGTCATATAATCCTCTACTGGCCACAACTAATAAGAATCCACCAACATTTACCTGTTGTCATTGATGTTCAATTATGTAAGGTAAACAAATTTTTTTCTTCATGTGTATAATTCTTGGGAATTATTTATTTATAAATTAATTTTTTTATCAACAGAGTGTGATTGATAGATGAATTTACTGATTTGCACTTACATTCAATTGCATAAAGTAAAACAATTGTTTTCTTTGTATGTATAATTTTTGGTAATTATTTATTTATAAATAAACTTTTTAGGAAATAAGTATTTTTTAAGAAAGATTTGTGGGATTTTTTAGTCAATTGCTCACATTGAGAGAATTTTGGTTTTCCAGCCATCCCACAAAATTCAGGAATGTCCAACATCTTGATGCTGAAGGATATGTCTCAAATTAACTAATCCCTGGTTGGAAAGCAGTCTTTCAGGGAGTTTGAAGAGACCATAGTTAGGAACTTGTTCACAGGGACTGTGGCTTTTTGGTTGATTGGAAAACTTCACTGCAGGCTGTGATTTCATTTTAAGGAGTTGGTTACACTAAGAGAATTACTTAGTTAGTTTTGGAATCTTATGACAGTAGGATATTTTTAAACTGTAAAGGTTGAATTATTTTACTCTGTCATGAATTTCTTATATCGACAAAAAGGGTACAAAGAAAAATAAAAAAATATATAATATAAAGTGGATATTGACTTTTACTTAATGTATTTCAATGTCTTTATTTTGTGTTAATATTTTAAAATATTATGGCACACAATGAAGTTTTCTGTTATTCTAAAATAAATCTGGAGTGAGTTCTCAAAATTTTGCTAAGTGTCAGATAGAAATATATTTAGCAACACTATAGAAAGAAAAAATAAGACCTACCAAAGGGCAGAAGAATTCAAGGAGTTAATTGCCAACCAAATAGAACTGGTGTCTTGAAAAAACATCAGGAAGAAAGTGATGGGAGACTACTCCACATTCACTCCCAAAAACAAGTTGTAAAATGTAAAACAGGAAATAGACAAATATCAACATTAGTATGTCTAAATAAAAAGATAAACGATATGAACTTTACAAGCAGCATACACAGAATCATATATAGTACTTCCTCAATTATCCAAACTTTGATTATCTGGTTGCGAAAGGAAGATAAAATTTGAAATCATCCAAATGTTTTTCTATTATCTGAACTAAACACATTCTAATATTTAATCTCAGACAAGTGCCTTGAGAATTTAGAAAACCATAATCAATATTTGATAAAAATGCTGATAAAGTCATTCAGTTAATTCCTGTTAATTTCTTTCATATAAAGAAAATACATTTGAATTATCCCAATAACATGGGTATTGTTAAACAGATAGCCATGCTGGAAAATTTTGAAGAGGAGGACTGGTAATGATATTACCCATGTTGAAGTTCAACAACCCCAATGGCCAATTTTAGACACAGAAGCAATTATTGGGTTTGACAAATGTTCAAGTTGTTGGAACTTACAAAGACATGTACATTTAGCTTTGGGATTTAATAGCAGAAAAAAAGATGTGATGTCAGATGAAAACAGACAAAAAATGATGCATATTTTCATAAAAAATAATCTGGACAAAACCATGAATATAATGCATTTGAAAATGTTATTTGATGATATAAATGTTATTTGATGATATAAATGTTAAATTTCTTTCAGAAAATGACTTCTTTCTTCATTCTTTTTCAATAATTTAAGCATTCAATTATCTTGAATTTTGAAGTATCCAAACATATTGTGTCTGGATAAACAAGGAAGTATTGTATGCTGGTAGAGAGAGAAATGAAAGAGGAGTTGAACTAATAAAAGACAAGAAGAAATGTGTTCTGAGATACCAGCAGCTGCTGGGTAGAGTTCTTCTAATGAAATTAAAAAGGAATCTGTCCAATGTAGTCATGAAGGTTAAATAATTTTAAAACATTTAATTCAATTTTTATATGCCTTTGACAGTACCAGAATTTTTATTTTGTTTTTCACTGTACAGCTGTAAATGGACTGTGCATATCAGAAAAAAATGACAGGGTCTTATACTAGTATAAAGACATGCAATGGAGTGATGGGTTTAAATTAAGATGAAAATAAATACAATTAATTAATAATGATGATGGCGGATAATATTTTGTCTGAGAAAAAAGAAAAGAGATAATGCTGTAAACTAAAATTTCATATTGAAAAATTATGTTGAGTTGATTTTAAAACTCCCTTTAATGGGTTTAAAGGAAAGTATAATAATAAAAAAGAATTACCAAGCAACATGTTTGTAGAAAATGAAGTTTAGAATGTATTTAGAATAAAACAAGTATTATAAAATGATAGAACAATCATGTGGGAGAAAGTGTTGCTGAAGCAGTAGAGAGGTAACTCTTAAGGGATACAGTACAGATAGATAGATTAATAGATAGGAACTGATAGATATAAACAGACTGAGATAGATAGATATAAACAGACTGAGATAGATAGATAGATAGATAGATAGATAGATAGATAGATACTGAAACCAACTACATTCTTCCATTCCTGGATATCATGTTACATAGAAATAATAACAAACTCAATTTTAATGTTTACAGAAAGGCTGTAAATAAAAAATGATCTGATTAGTTTCTACTCAAACCACTCTTCTAAAATTAAATCTGAAATTATTATAGGTTTCTATCTGAGAGCATTAAGATTCTGCAGTTCCCAATATTTACCTAAAAAAGAAATATACATAGAAAACACATTCAAAAACCTACAATACCCATATCATTTCATCCACAATGCAAGAAGAAAGGCATACAAAATATACAACCAAAACAAAAATAATAACATAATCCGAAATAATAAATTACATGAAAGCAGATGCATAATACTACCGACCAACTCTGTCACATCCACTATCCAGAACAACCTATCCCATCTAAATAATCTTAAAATAGTCACAAGCACTTCCAAAACCATTATGGATATACTCAGATCCTCAAACACTAATAGCAATAATATTTCTGAAACAGGCATTTATAAAATAAATTGCCAAAACTGTTCCTCCCAATATATTGGAGAAACAAAAAACAACTTAACTAATGCTCTAGTCATACATAGAAATAAATTCAACCACAATTTTTATTTTAAAAATGCTACATTCATAAAAAAAATAACTCACTTGGAAGGAAAATCCTCAAGAGTGCCAACATTGAATATTATCCAAATATTAATCTACGCTCAGGCTTTTTCCCTATTTCACCTTTCCTAACAGAATTACTATTCTCCCAAGCAAACGTACACAATTGTATCAAGAAATCAAAAGAAAATGGTTGAATCCGTCAACGCAACAATAAAAACAGTATTTCCACACGTGACAGTACTTAACGTAATTTTCAGTTGACAATATGAATATAATAGCATTTTCTAAATTCTTCTAGTTGCTAAGGACAATTTGTTTTGTTATTATTAGTTACTTTGTTTTAATAAATTCATTTTGTTTTTGCCTTGAAAAAGCCCACATTGGACAAAATGTGTCAACTAATATTACAGTTTTCCTCTTGTCTTTTACATTTATAAATATTGTCTTTTTCTACAGGTTAACTCTGAGAAATTTTTCATAGATAGATATATATAAAGAGACTGAGATAGATGGAGAGATAGAAATAGACTGAGATAGATGTAAACAGACTGAGATAGATAGGTAGATAGAAACAGATAGAGATAGATAGATAAATAGGTAGATAAAAATAGAAATGGATAGAGAGATAAAAACAGACAATTGGTAGATAGATATAAACAGACTTAAATAGATAGGTAGATATAAACAGACAGATAAATAAATAGATAAATGGACAGAAATAAACAGACTGTGATAGATAGATAGATAGATAGATAGATAGATAGATAGATAGATATGAACAGACTGAGATAATAAATGGATACAAATAGGCTGACATACATGTAGGTGAATATGAACAGACCTAGTATATTTAATTTTGTAACTGTAAATTTTTTATTCTCATAGATTTCAGAGCAGCATATTGTCATTATTCATTCAAAAGAACACGCCTATTAAAATGTTTTGTTTTTCAGTAGTGACACTTAAAATAGAAAAATAAAAGAAGCCAATTTACTATGTGGAATCTTTGGTGCATCTGCAGATAAAATTTAATGTGGAGTAAACATTTAAATTCTGAGACTTTTGTATTACCAATGTTACATACCCAAAGAGAGAGTGAAATAATTTTATGTATTATTATTCAGGTACACATAAGAGACTAAGTCCTTCAGTTTTGCTTGTATGTCGAAAAGATTGTTCTCTATTGCGAAAATAAAACCTTCTGCATCAATCTCTCTCTCTCTCTCTCAAGTGCTCTTGAACCTTCTTTCAACTGCAGAGAACTGAAAAGAATTGTCTGCATATCAACACAAAAACTTTGAAGTAGAACTCAAGGAAAACCACTAGTACAACAATGGAAGGGTAAGAAGAAAGAAAGGAGATAGGAAAGGATGAATAAATAAAAAGAAAAGAAAATGAATAGATGAAGGGTTGATATTAAAATGCTGGGGTGGAGTAAAGAATAAAGAAGGGTTTGGGTAGAGGAACAGCAATTCGAAATAGAAAGAGTTAGATTTAGAAAAGAAGCAAAATCAGTGAGGTGCAAAAGGAAGAATGACAAAATAAAAGGAGTTTAAAAAAAAGTGTAGGGGTTTGATGAAAAAAGTGTAGGAATTGAAGAAATGTTGAGTAAGAAGTAGATGAGACATAATGAAAACAAGGTTAGAAGAGAGAAAAAGTAAAATAAAAGCAGGAGGCAAGAAAGAAAGAAAGAAAGGTAAAAGCAGCAAGTGAGAAGAGAAAAGGAAAGTTTGAAAATAGAGAAAAGGAAAGAAAGGTAAAAGTAAGAAATCAGAAAGGAAAAAGAAAGATAAAAGTAAGGAAGTGAGAAGAGATAAGAAAGAAAAAGAAAGAAAGATAAAAGCAAAAAGTGAGAAGAAAAAAAAGGAAAATTCCAAGAATGAAAAAGAAAAAAAAAAGAAGATAAAAGGTTTTACAGTTCAAAATGAGAAGGATGGCCTATGTGATGTGAGAAGAAAAGAAAAAGAAGCAAAAGAGAGATTAAATGAAAATTTGTTTGTTAGATGTCAGGCTGGTTAAAAAGAAACCAAGAGAAACTGGTAAAGAAAAATACTTCATGAAAAAGAAGACATCATTTGTGAATCATAAGAGTGCCTGTAAATGGCAAGAGCAATACAAAATGAAGGGTTAGAAAGAAAAGTGCTACATCCCTTCAGGAAATAGTAGATCATAGCTCTCCACAACTTCTCTTGTGGGCCTTAGCAGTTTTTCTCCCTTTGCTCCCCACCATTCTACTATCCATTTGCACAAGCTCATCAGGTAAGTGACTTGCTGTCTTCCCCTATTTCTCTTGCCTTCAATATGCCCTATGAGCATTAAGTTTGCCAAACCCTCCTTCCTCATGTGTTCAAGCTATTTCAGCTGTCTCTTACTGATTATGAGCATGTGTTCTTTGTTGCCATTTTCTTTAAGGCTTCTTTGTTACTTACTCACCCAGTCCATGGAATTCTCAGTATGCTTCTGTAGAACCTAATTTTTCCTATCTCTAGTTTTCCCCTCATCTGTGAGATGACTGTCCAACATTCACTTCCATATAAAAGAACAGATATTGTATAGCAATCCAGCACTCTTTTCTTTGTTTCTTATGAAATTTCTCCATTTCTCACCATCTTGTTTAGCTTTTGGATTGCCTCTTTTACTATCCAATACATCATCGAATCTCAGTATCACATTTTCCATCCTCTGTTAAAACACTTCAAAGATATTTAAACTTTTGCACATCACAGAGTGGGAAAGTGAATTCAGCCAATGGATGGAGAGAATGTGAAGCAGAAAGAAGAGCTGAAATATGAGTGTTGGAAAAGAAGAATTTAAGGAAAAATTTAATAAAGTGTTCTAAGACAGTAAAAACAAGAAAAGAAACATGAAGAGTGGAAGAGAAACTGTGATGGAAACACATAGGTAATAAGAGCAGAAGTAAAATCAGTATATTGAGAATGCAAAAGAAGAGTCCCGGGTGGATAACCAGTGAAAGAAGTGGCAGAGATAAAAAATGGAGAAAAAGAGACAAAAATAAAAGACATGAGAGAGAATAATATTTTTTATACTAATATTCACCCAATACAAGGCCCAAGAGCCATTTAAGGTAGATGGTTAGTGTGTGGTGTTTTATGAGCATAAGAAATGACAAGAAGAGAAATTCATGGGGTTATGTACAAAAGATAATGGTTAACCCTAAACTTGAAGAGGTCAAGATTAGTGATCAGGAAAACATCCATTTGGGAGTCTGTTCCATAAAGCAACAGTTCTTAGGAAGAATCTCCCTGAGAGAAATCTACTTCTTACTATTGGAATATTAAAAGGATGAATATTATTCAGCCATGTGTAATAATTTGGTAATAATAATTTTATCAGTGTACATAGTCTTAATGAATAAAATTGAATTTCATTCTGTGCAACTCCTTTATTGCAGCACCAATAAACAGTTTTTTCATTTTTAGGACTTTATATTAGTTTCACTAGATGGATACAAAACTACTGCAAAGCCTGGCATGCTTTAAAATGCTCAGTTAGAGTGAAGCAGAATTTAATTACCCTAGTAAAGAAAAGCACATCTCTTGTTTGAATCCCTTGAAGTCAGTATCTGCTAATTTTATTTTTGTATCATTTTTTTTATAACAATGTTCAGCCAATACAAGGCCCAAGAGCCACTCAACATAGAAGGTTTCTGTGTGGTGATGCATTAGCATAAGAAAAGACAAGAACTGAAGTTCATGAGGCTACACAGGAAATATAATGGTTAACCTTAAAATTGAAGGGGTCAAGATTATAGTGATTGAGAAAACATTCATGTAGGAGTCTGTTCCACAAAACAGCAGTTTTTGGGAAGAAGCTGTTAGGATGGAACATCTTACTAATAAAATATGAAGGGAATGGGAATGAGTCACACTTGTGTATGTGTCATGGCAGGTCCGAGTTCTAAAGGTCAGAGGTGGGGGACTATGTAATGTAACTCATCACAATGCATGCCATAGAAATAGCGATAGAGCAGCAAGAGGTTCACAATGTTTTATTTGTGGGAAAGGTTATAGGGTGATAAATAATTAATCTCCCACAAGTCACTGTAGATGCTTTTGATCTTTATCAAGATTGGAAAGTGAAGACTGGCCAACTCCAGCCCAGATATGGCACCAATACTCCTTTTTCGCCGTGATCTAGCTCTTGTAAAGATAGAGTATAGTAGAGTGGAATATATTTACTGGAGTGTTACAATAAACCAACCCTTTTTCCAACAACAGACCAAATATATGAGTTCCACTTGAGCTCTGGGAAGAGCTTGAGTCCCAATAGATGTTCAAGGTAGTGATCCTCCTTGAGAGAAGACCCATCTATTCTGATAGGTGAAAGTTTCAGATCATTGTGATAATTATTTTCGTCATTGTTGATGACAATGTTTTCCTGAATTCATATCCTCCAGGTGTCAGTTTAAAATGATGCCTTCTTTTTCCTATCTGTTTGTTCATTTTGTTTAAAGTTCATATTTTCTGGATTTCAGATGAAAACCTGTAAATTTTTCAACATACGTCAGTGAAATTTTCACTGCCAAAAAGACGTATACTTTAAATATATGGAAAAAGAAGCCATCAGATTAAACTGATATCAAGAGCATATAGGTTTTCCTGATACATTTTTTTTTTATATATTGTGACTACTTTACTTAAAGTTCATATTTTTTTACAGCCTCAGTTTAAACTGAAGCCATGAGTACATGGGTTAAGATATACCAAGCTTAGTTAAGTAAATATCTCTAAATACCAAATGGAATAGAACTTTGGTATTTCATTGATCATCCAAGTAGGAAAAGACTTACTCCCTTGAAAATCAGTAGTCAAAATCCTGACATTTACTTGGGTTCAAAAACTAATTAATTTTGGGAAATACGTAGTTTTCTCAGGTCTTCTTCATGAGCCATCTCCTTTCATGATGTGGGCGATCACGCCTCTCTAACACTTCCTGTTCCTTGTAGCTCTGAATAAATTTTGTCTTTTTGTTATTTTTCCTAAACCCTTTTCTAGTATGCATTTCCTCAAGCTCATCAAATATGTCATGCACTGCTTTCCTCTGTCCCACTTTTTCTCAATCAGTTCTGTGTGTATCACATTTCCCAAGCCTTCTTTTCTCATGATGTGCCTCAGAAATTTCAGTTGTCTCTTCCTGGTATTAAGTATAAGTTTCCTTTTTGTTTCCATTTTCTCTGAAAGCTTGTCATTGTTCACATGTTTAGCCCATGGTATCCTTAGCTTCCTTCTGTAGAACCATGTTTCTGTTGCGACAAGTCTCTGCTTCATCTTTGAGGAGATTGTCGAGCATTTACTGCCATATAGGAGGACAGATATCATGTAACAGTTCAGTACACTTTTTTTGTTTCTAACAAAGTTTTTTCTGTTTCTTAATACTCTGCTTAGCTTTTGGAAGGCATATTTGGCTATCCCAATGCGTCTTTGGATTTCAGTGTCACACTTTCCATCCTCTGTTAGAACACATCCCAGATATATAAATATTTGTACTTGTTTCACTTTGATATTCCCGATTTGTAATTTGCATTTTGAGCTCATCCTTTTCCTAAGAACTATGTGTTCCATCTTCATGTAGTTTATATTTAGTCCTTTCTTCTTGTGTTCCTTCATTACTTTCTGTAGGAGTTTTTGTAGCTTTCTTTCTGTGTCTGCTATTAAATCTTGGGTGAAAGGTAAATTTAAGAGCTTAACTTAATCTGACACAAAGCCTCATTTGCAGGGTCCAAGGAAAGTATTGAACTCATAGCACGAGCAAATTAATCTATGGGATCATTTTCTTGAAAGGGTTCTCTTAAAACATTATTTTTTAAAAATATTATTCTCTCATTTTTTAATTGTATTTTATTATTACTATTAAATTATTCTTACTTTTAATTGTATTTTATTATTATTATTTATCATATTCTTCTTTAATAAGTTTTATACCAGTTTCAGCATGATTAAATTATTTTTTCAATTTCTCCTGTTGCACCTCCCAAAACCTACAAGATATTTACCAACATATGAACAAATGTCATCATGGTTAAAGCATTAGTTAACTTAGACATTTAGATATCATAGTGTAAATAATATGTGGACATAGTTTCAGTAAAATAACAAAACCAGCAAATCAGAATTAAAGATACAGTATTGGCCAATCAAACAGGAGATCAAGAATCTAAAACTGTATTAAAGTTGAGCCTATCTCTACCAATAAAAGCAGAGGAGAATCAACATTTAAACAGATAGCAGTAAAGTAACAGAGAAAAAGCCACCACATTGATAGGCTAGGAACAATACATCTGCTTGACATGTCAATGCTGTAAAATTCCACTGATTCCTCCCAGAAAAGGAATTTGACACAAGAACTAATTCTTTGTGGATGCTCCTGAAAAGCTTACATGTGTGATTTATGACCAGTGCTTACTGTTTTCACAACAAGCTAATTGCTCTGACAGAGACTCATCCTTTTTCTTTTCCATAATGCCAGTGTTTTTCGCTTAATAAATATTTGTTATTGTTTGTTCTATAAATCTATGTTTATTAATTTTTCTATAGTTAGAGGTATTGTTACCTTAGGTCCGACAAAACTAATCATAGCTATCACACCCTCTACACCCCCTGACCCAGTATAGTGATTATTTGGTATGGCATGTTTGTTCATTTTCAAATAATTTCCTTGACAGCATGATTATTTTATTCCATGTTTATTTAAGATTTATTTGAAATTCACAGCAGAAAGTTTATTCAAACTGCCATACAAATTATATAGCGTCCTGGGTATATCTGGCAGCAAGGCTTCTGACTGGAACGTTTTGAGGAACATGGCAACATCTCTTAATTACTATGGTTCCCAGGTCCACCCTGACCTGGGGTGGTAGCACCTGTTAGGGTCTCAGCTATGGGAAAATAGTTAACCCCCAAACTGGGGTCAAAACACTATAAAAGTATAAAAATAGATTTTTATAGTAAAAATACCAGCAATACATTTTTGAAAAAGAAAAAATTACCAGCAATACATTTAACTCTTGAAAAAAACCATCTTTATAAAAATATATCAATGAAACCTGATCTACAAACTGATTTCTTACAAAGAATACATATTCTTTTCATATGAACATATCCTAAAAATCTTTGAAGTTGATATACTATAAAACAAAAGAAACAAAACCAAACTAATTATATAATTTGAAAAATCCATACTGGCATGATTATTTAAGACAACACTTGTATTTGTATGAAAGAACATGACTTAGTAACATGACTTAGTAACTTTTCACTTTCTTTCAATCCTCTCCATTATTTTTAACTTTTTCTTTCTTTTTTGTAAATTGCCATCTCAACATATCTGATCATGGCTCTCCACAAATTACTTTTTATAGTAATATGTAAATGACTACCTAATTAGCATAGCAAAGGCAAAAAGATTATGTAAATGCTCAGGTAGTAAATAGAGGGGCAGAATACGATATGCAAGATTAACGGCTACCGTTGGACTGAGAAAATACAAAGAAAATCATACTTCATAATAGTTTCTATTATTATGTATTGGAAAAATAGGAGTGGGGTGTAGTTCTCCTCTCCATGGTTTTAAATTTATAGTAGAATGTTACAAATCAAGGTTAGAGCAGTCTACCTTGCTATTTTCCCACAGCTGGGGAAAAAGTTCTAAAAAATCTTATTAGCTGTCTTTTTCAGTGTTTAAAAAATTAAGTTTTTTTTTCATTTCTGCAGCTTTGATTTCACTGGGAAGCCCAGGGTAGGAGTGAATGTAAGGAGAATGAGTGTGAGGAGAATGTATTATTCCAATACCTTATTTCAAACTCAGTCAAATTGAGTGTTCAAGCAAATGTAAGTCACTCATACACAACACAGACATATACGTTATGTATGCACATGCAAA